TCAAAATTTTCTCTTTCAAAGAAAAAAAAAAAAAAAAAAAAAAAAAAAAAAAAAAAAAAAGAAGTCAGCTGAAAACCTTCAAGTCTTTTGGTTTTAATGATGGTCTGGGAATGTAAAATGCAACATATGAATGAGAACTGTCAAAATAAAGAAGTTGTAGCAGCTAAGTAGATTCTTAAGGCCTTTTGACCCTCAGTATAGGTGAAATATTCATGGAATAGGTGATGTTTGTCCAGATTGCTGTGCATTGTAGAGGTATAATCTTCTGAAAGCCTTTTTACCTTTCCAGTGTGTTTTACAGCTATCAGGAGCTGGCAGCAGGTGCAGATTTTACTGAAATAGCCTTCATAGCAGATTTGTAATTGCCCTTTCCTGGGTGAAATGGAGTCACCTGCATTGATTTCTGAAATAGGTCATCTTTAGTGTTTACCTTAGAAGACTGTGGTTCTCTACTAAGTCAGAAGGCTCCTTGTCCATAACACTTTAATTAATTTCTTATTGAATCTTTGAGGGGTGATTATTAAGCTTTGAAGATGAAGAAATGGAGATGTTGTCTATTTTAGAGTCTTAATGGAATACTTTTGTGAGAGTCACTAGCATATTCGTTTAAAATACTTTCTATTTGACAAAATGTGAAGCTGCTGATGTAGCATGCAAATTTTCTACAGAATGGTACTCTCCTCCTCCATCCTTTGGAGAGCAAGAGCAATTTCACATCTGGCTGCATCTTCGCAGAACGAAACGCATTGCTGAGGTTCTTGTTCTTATTTGTTTGCTATTTGTGTGTCTTGCTCTTGTCACAGCACTTGAATTCAGCGATTACAGGCTGGTTACTCTGCAAAGCTGTGCTCTCCCACTTGGTCCTGAAGATACTTGCGCTGAGGCCGTGGTGCTGTAGCAGAGTGACAAGCAAGGCTTTTACTTGAGTATCACAGAAGGTTGACAGAGGTGCCTGATGGGAAGTGACTCATTCCCAGAGTGATGGGGCTGCTGTAAGCCTCCCCAGGGTGCCTCCATCCCCTGCTCAGCCACTGTGCCTGATGTTGCAGCTGTAAAACATCCTCTGATTTCACTTCAGCTCTAGGAGGTCCAGCAGGGCTTTGCTTCAGCCCTCAAATAAACCTTGCTCTGTTAGGGATGTGGTATCACAGAAGTTGAGGGTGCCAGGTTTTTAAAATAGACCAAATTTTTGTAGTAAAAGTTGCTGAACTGTTGATTCATTTTGCAGTGCAGTATACCAAGAGACTGAAATTATCCTCATTTCAGAAAGTTCAGGAATATTTTAGAATAGCTTGATTTCTTTGAAGAAATGCGTAGTTATGGGCAAAGGATTTTCTTGCCTCTGTTTCCCTTCTCCCCTCATTATGGAGTGCTGCAGGGCAGGGTGCATTCACATATGCACACACACATTTTCCCTATTCCTCTCGTTATCTGTGTATTATCAGTTTTTCTGTGGAGGTAACATCTGTGATGATGGTTTCATTGCACGGTGTACTATTCAAGCAGGGGAGAGAGAAATCTCACTTTCGTAGGTGCTGTATACACACAAACACATGTACAGACCTCTGCAGTATTGCTTTCTGTGTTCATCTGTAACTCAGCTATTCCCTCAAGACATTATTGTAATATAAGTATTGTTTATAGCAGCTGTGACTCCCTCAGTGGGCAGTGTGATCCCAATTCTCTTGTTGTTCTCTTTGCATACCAGTCCAGTTCTCCTCGTTTTGCTGTCAAAGTCCATGCGTTAGAGTTGTAAATGGTGGTCACTTGAGATTTGCTGGGGAGTTGCATCTGGGCAGTCTTGTCTCTGTGCCTACATTTTATGCCTTTTTTTTTTTTTTCCCTGTTGAAACTGTTCCAGTGCTAATTCCTGTGATGCATATTGTTTTATTTTTAAATGAGTGATTTAAGAGAGATGGTTTCTGAATTAGTGAGCACAGAGGCCACCGGAGGGGCTCAGTGGGAGTGTTCACAATTAGCCAACTAAACATGCCGGCACAGTTATATAAAATGAGAGGTTTGACATGTTTGGGATGTTGGCCCTGTCTCAGCATCCTCAGGCCAAGGTTAATTTCCTGCCCTCTGTTCATCGCAAGAGGAAATTGCAAAGCAGGAGCTTGACAGAATGTCTGTTCGCTAGACTGACATGGGATGTGATGTGCGTACAGAGGAGAGGTTTATAAGGAGAGGACATAAAGCTGACCTCGCCTCCTTGCTAGAAATTTCTCCTGGCCAAGCAGTGCAGGACATGGACCTTTGTAGTGATGAGACTTGCTGAAAGAATTTTGCAGCTGTCACGTGCAGCTGAGTGGTGGTATCCACCTACGGTACATGGATTGATAAAAAGCCAAATAACATTCTATGGTCTATCAAAAAACAGATATAGGAACATGCTGACTCCTGGTCAGTAGGATGTGGGAAAGTCATTCTCCAGGAGCCTGAGAGAGAGATGAATTCAGCATGTGATTGCCTTGTGTGCAGCAGTCACATCAGCCTTCAGCTGATAGAGAGGTCACAGTTTCTTTCTAGCTCCTCATATATTTCTTGCCGCTTTCTTGGTCTATCTTTAGGCAGCTGCCTTCCATTTCAGCTCAGCCTCCACGCTGACACCAGCACATTGGAACATGTGCTGTCCTTGATGGCATAGGAGATAAGGATGTTTCTGCTCTCCTAGCATTCCCTACCATTTGAAGAGAGCTGGAGACTTTAGAGGAGGAATTTGACAGCACATTCACATCTTCCCAGCTTTCTCTGAGGCTGGCCAACTATACATGGAGACATTTTTGGTATGCTGATCAGTGCCTTTGGAGAAGCTGGCAGAGCCCCAGCTGTCAAGGTAGATTGCAGCCACCTGATCTGGTGGGATTAGCAAGGATTATTGCCAAAGCTCTCAGTTGGAAAGGACGGATTCTCAGCCAGGACTGCTTCTGAGATTGGCCAAATGTGGAGTTCTTATGAACAGGTTTAGACACCAGAGCAGGTTGTGGACGTTGAATACATCTTACAGAGGAAGCTAGGAGGCAGCAGCAGGGCGATAGCTGACTGTCTCTATGCAGTAACTTGAGGAAAGCCACAATATCACGTTCCTGAGTGAGGCCTGTCTGAGTTCATTTCTTGGCCCTGATGTTTTCGCAGTCTCCCTGGACAGTGGAGCCAGTCATTTCCTCCCGAATCACTACCAAATAAATCAGCTTTCAGACCTGTGAAGAAAGAGTGATTGGCCTGACCTGGGGGTTTGCTTCCTTCATCTTGAAGGTGGGCCTGGGTGAGAGGTTGGAAAACCTTCTCCAGTTCTCGTCCTTGGGCTAGGGACTTTCCCACACCTTCCTTGAAGAAGGATTAGGGAGTGCCCTAAGTGGGAGTAGGCCAAGTCCATCATCATATGGAGATCCCTCCAAAGCTTGCCGGGAGGTGGTCACCCCAGCTGGCGACTCTGCATCCATTGAAACTTGGCCTGGAGACCCCTGACCAAACCCAGCCTGACTGAGGGTGCAGATGCCTTCGGCAGCAGTGTGGTTGCCTCTGGCTGCAGCGCTGGCCTGTGTGCTGCCATATAAGCCCTGTGGAGCTGCTCATGCACATTAACCAGCTCTTCTGCAGATGAGTGCCTCCCTGGGTGTTGAAGCCAGTGCTGTCCCTGCATGTGCACTGCGTCCTGCACTGTTGCCTGCTAAACCCCATCTTGTAACTCTTGTGTTCAAGTGGAGGGGTCATAGTTATCACACTTGCAGAGAATTATTCCTCTGTTTTGCAGCCGTCACACCCCCTCCCTTGATGGGTGTTTCACATGAGACGGATCTCTGTGATTGATGTGCTAAGGGAGAGAAATGTAGTCAACTGCTGAACGCTTTGGCTGCTCCTTCAGAAACTTTGCATATGGTGCATTGCTTCTGGCTGTCCTGAGCCACTTGTAGTCAGGTGGGCTTTAAACCAAACTTGTGGCTACATCGTGACTGTGCCCTCATGCAGCTTCTGTCACTCAGGAGATCAAAAGCTGGTCCCAGGCTGATGTGCGACACAGAGTAGTTTGACTCCCTGTGATGTCTTTTGGAGTTAGGAGTGGTGTTGCTGTGTCAAAAACCTGGGCAGTGCTGGGCTTGCTGTTTGCAGACCCTGAGCAGAGGTTGCAATACTTGCTTTGTGGAGACTGATATGGAGGCTTCTCCATTATGTGAGGGCATGCCTAGGAAGGCATACAAGGGTAGCTGAGAAGAGTAAAGATCGAGCAGCAGAGGCTGAGAATCACAGTAGGAACCAGCAGCTGAGCAGTGGGGGTGGGGAGCTGGCCATGAAGGATTCCTGAAATGAAGACAAATAGCCCACAGCTGTTGTGATAGTCAGATACTCCCTGCTTACCTCTCTTCCTGTCAGACAGGTAGTGGAATTACTTCTCTCCCTTTCAAAGAGATCAAAAAAAAGAAGGGTAAGGGAAAAGATGTTAGAGGTACTGGAAACTGCAAGTGCTCAAAGTCAGGCTGCATTCAGTTCATTTACTTCAATACCTCTCGTGACTACAAAACAAGATTTTTCCCTAGCTGAAGGAAAAGGGAGCAGCACATGCAGAAATAAGATGCCATTTTTCCCCTGTTAACTCCTGCAGGATGAATATAAGCCAGAAAAGGCTTTGTCAGAGGAAGATCTGAAGAATGCAGTTAGCGTGCATCACGCGCTGGCATCCAAGGCAACAGACTATGAGAAGAAACCCAATGTCCTCAAGCTTAAAACAGCAGATTGGAGGGTCCTGCTTTTCCAAGCCCAGTAAGTGCTCTCTTCTGATAACCATTGATAACCATTGAGGAAAGAAAACAGTGCTGAATGAGGGGGAAATTCATGCCCGGACAGGTTAAAGCAGAGGCTTAAGAGGTTCAATCTATTTATTTGATCAGAAATAAGATTAAGTAGTGATTTGATTAGAGCGCACAAGTAGTTCATGAGAAAGAAACAGAATGTTTTAAGAGGCTTTTTAATCTAGCTGAGAAAGGCATAACAAGATGCAGCAGCTGGAAGCTGAAGCCACAGGAAATTCAATTTGGAAAGGAGGTACAAACTTTTAGCAGAGTGATTAATCATTGAAACAAATGACCAAAGGCAGTCTCAGGTTGTCTGTCTTCTGATGTCATGAGGTCCTAACCGGATGTCTTTCTAGAAGGTACGCTTTGATCAGAAACAAAGTTACTACTTGTTACAAGAATAATTATATTAAATGCTTCAGACTGTGATAGCCAGACTGAACAGATGACTTGCCTTATGCTTCTGACACTAAAAGCCTGTGCATCGGTCTTGTGCGTGAGCCCCTTTCTGTTGAGATCCATGTGAAGCCTTCTAGAGATCTGTGCTGTCCAGCACAGCTAAGACCTTAGGACGTATGTCTGAATCAGGACATCAGTTGCCTCTCTGACCTGTGTCATTTGGATTGGATTAGGAAAAGATGCATGCTAGGGTGAATTATGGACGTAATCACAAGCCAGGCTGTGACTGAGATACCTGACGCCATGTGCTTGCAAAGATAAACCACAAGACTGTGCAGACTCTAAAGACTTGTCCACTTCTGGTTATTCTCGCTGTTAAAATCCCATTGGAGGGGTGGGAAAGAGGTACAGGAGACTGAGATTCTTATTATGTATTTCTTCCCCAGGAGCCAAGAAGAAATGCAGACCTGGATCAACAAGATTAACTGTGTGGCTGCTGTCTTCTCTGCACCGCCATTTCCAGCAGCAATTGGCTCTCAGAAGAAGTTCAGTCGCCCACTCCTGCCAGCCACCACAACGAAGCTATCTCAGGTGAGCTCTTTTTATGTAGAGGGTAGGTGATGGCAGTTTCTCTGGCTGTCTGGAAACTGGACAGATGGTCTTTGGCATTGTTTTGTGGCAGTTGTCACTAGCATTCCTAGGAGAAGGAGATTTGCACAGTAATTCTCTGCTTGTTCCTTGATGCAAGATTTGAAGTGGAGGTAAAGAAGGAGTAGACCCAAATATGATTGCTTTATATTTTTTAAGAAAAGAAACAATCTCCAGTGTTCCTAGTACGAGATATAGAATTTTCATCCTGTGGTTATGGCTCTGCAGAGGGCATTTGAAATAAATGTCTGACTGGTGGGCTTTTTGAGTGTTTGTTGCCAGTCATTTCCAAAGAAATGGACGTGCTCCTGTTTTTTGGCCTGTTGGGGTGGTGAAAGTTGCAAGCTGATGCATCAGGCAAGCATCAATTACATTTCTCCCACAGTACTTTTCCAGGCTCAACCCTTATGAGCTGTGGGATTTCCTGTTTAAAGTATATTTATAAACTGTCTCTTACATTAATGTCTTTGGTGTCCCCTTGTGATCACGTAATCTTTTTCCATAGCATCCTGTGGCAGGGAGTTTCACAGCTCTACTACTTCCTGCACGAAAAAACACCTACTTCGGCTTGTTTGAGACTGATTGTGTCTGATGCTTGCACCCATAGCTCTGGTGCATGCCTCCCATTCCTCCTGCACTGGTAGGAACTTGATACAGACTGTGTTGATCAGGTTGACAGAGTGGCAGAGACGATAGATCCCAATCCTAAGTGTATACTTTATGAGTAGCCTCCTGTAGCTTTTAAAGTCATCTGCCCATGCTGTATTGCTTGTTAAATGCATTTTTTTGCCATCTTCATAGCTTAGCAACACTCCTTAGAAACCGCTGTCTCATAATCTGCATTTCTCTGAGGGGATGAGGTTTTTCATATCGCCCCTGCTTTTTCGCTATCCTTGGCAGTTGCCTTTCTTTCTACAATGTGGTGACCGACTTTCCATCTTCTGTTCTGGGTTAAAGTTTAAAACATGTCTTGTAGAGAATAATACTAACTTGTCTCATCCTTGTGGCTTTACCTTTTGCTCATGTATACGTTCTTTTAAAATACTGCGTGGGGGTTCCCAATAATTTACCCCAAATCATCAAAAAAAGCTTTTTTACTCATCTTTGTTCTGTGTGATTGTTCCATTTAGCGTGTTGTTTCCTAGTCTCATTATTTCTGTTTAATCTGGAAAGAGAAAAAATAGAACACAGCCCTGTGGTTTGTGTCTCAGGAAAGAGGAGACATGAAACGTGGAATAAGATAAGCTGTTTTAGCTGAAGGCAGAAGAATGTTAAGTGTTCAAAGCAGATAAATTCAAAGGCAAGCAGAAACATGTCTACTTATATCTGTCAGTGTGGAAAAGCTGCCAGCAGGCTGCTTCTTGTTTGGCAGACAAAAAACCAAGAATTGTCAAATCCCTGTGGTTGCTGTTCAGGATTTTGTGGGCTGAATCATGATGGACAGTACTTCTTCAAAGGTGCTGTTCTTGGTCAGGCAGAAGTTGAGCTGCAGTGAGAACCTGCCTGACATGAGTGAGGGAGAGAGGCTGGACATGACAGGCTCTGCAAGATCAGTGTACCAAACTTGCTTTCAAAAGCAGATCAGTGTCTGATCTTGGTTAATCCAGCCAAGGAGGGATGTGACAAAGCTCTATATAAATGAACAAGCAGTATGGAAAATATCTACTAAGTTTTGTTGTTTGTTTAATTTTTTTTTTTTCTTTTTCCTGAGAATGTGAATGCACACACAAAAGTTCCAAAGGGCTGCTGACTTGGCAATTACAAGTGTCAAATTAATAGCTGCTCAAAGACCTCCTGTCATCATGCTGTAGAACTCACTGCAACAGGATGTCACTGGGAACAGGCATTCAGCACAATGGAAGGAGTGATTGGGCGCTAGCAGAGAGAGCCACGCAGATCCAGGGTAGTTACTAACAGCAACAAGAATTTTTGGCAGCCAATAGCGAGTGGTTTGAGCCTTACCATGTAGAGGCGGAGGCAAATTATCCCACGTTTCTTTCTCCAGTTCTCTTGCAGGAGAGTGGAAACACAAGATGAGTTGGGGCTCATCTATCGTCTTCTGTAGAAGTTTCCCCTTTCCTGCAGCTGCAGCTCAGTGAGCTGAGAGGCTCAGTCCCTGGTGTGAGTCACAGCGCAGTGCAGGCGTCTCTGAGCTAGGCTTGGAGCTGCACGAGTGGTTTAGTGCAGCCAGTCCATGAGGGGACCGTTACTGGCAGCTATCCCCTCCTCTGAGGCTGACTGCATAGGTGGGAGCTGAGCTGGGTTCTGCCTGCTGCTGTGACTCAGGCTAGGTCACCGAGACCTGCGTGATCATGTCGGTATTTTGGACCTCGTTAATTCGGGCATAATTTCTGGCCTAGAAATGGCCAGAAGGCCATGCTGCAGGAGCTGAAAACCTTCTGAGCTGAGGGAAGGTTAGGTGACAGATGGACTGGAGGAAGTGAGTGGGCCTGGGATTGTGATAAAGGAAGCTGCCTAGAAAGGGGGAGTAGCACCTTCTCAGCTTCTCCCACTGCATAGTGGAGTAAAAGCTGGTAGCAGCTTAGCACAATGAGATACCTTTTGGGGATTGGACAGCCCTTCCTCTTCTGAATGCATTGTATTGTTCTGACTAAATGGAAGCCACAGGCAGAGTACTTTTGTTAGGGCAGAAGTGGAAGGAAGGGCCCTGACACCATGTCCTTTCTACGCTGGGAGGAACTACCTTCACATAGCAAAGACTGGTTCTTTGAAGCAGGTTCTTTGCCTGTCTCATTCTGCCCTTGGTCTGACTGCATACAGAACAGCCTTAATTAATTTGCCAAAACTGTATTAGAGTAGAAATGTCATGTTGTCAGTAATGCTCTGCAGCAAGCTGCTTCCATTGCTCTCAGCAAGGCAAGGGATGACAAGTTTACTGTCCTTCCCAGTGGCATCTGCTAGGTGCTGACTTTTTCTGTGAACTTGGCCACTTTATTTGGATGCCTTTGAGAGAGCTGTTGGGGACAGAGCTCTGGGATACAGACCTTATCAGTCTAATTAAAATTGGTTAAAGGAAAGGAGAAAGAGAGAAAGAAAATAAACTATTTGATATTATTGTTCAGGGATCTCTCTATTTCCCTTTGCTTATCAGATATTTTAGATTCTGTCACTTAAGTGCCTAATGTGTTTTTGAAGGATGAACAGCTGAAGTCCCATGAAGCTAAGCTGAAGCAGGTCTCCACTGAGCTTGCCGAGCATCGTTCCTATCCTCCTGACAAGAAGCTCAAAGGCAAGGAAGTAGACGATTACAAACTGAAGGACCACTATCTGGAATTTGAGGTACATATGGGAAACACTTGTATGTTTTGGGTGTGGCTGGCGCATCTGGTCTTATTCTTGTTAGACAGATATGTCACAGCAACCCAGAAGCTGGGATGTGGCTCCTTTTTCTGATAAGAACTTCTTCTGAACTTAGCCATGAATTCAGCTCCTCACCTGTAAACTGGAAGATAAAAATGTGACCCTCTGTCCTTTCCTGGTATATCTACTTCAAGAGATGCTAAGGTCTTCAAGCAAGTACTGTCTTGTATTCTAAGGCTGTGTGTTGGAACCCCAGTCTTCATGCAATGACTGCATTCTACTGTAATGCAGATCATGATAATTGTCTTCCACTGGTATGTTCTGAAGGAACTGCTCATCTAAAGTCTTACACATGCCTCTTTGGAGACATTGGTGTTGTGTACCAGTGAGCTGGATGTCAGGACAGGTAGAAAAAGGGTGGAATTAAAGATCGCAGGATTGAGTGATGCTACTTGGCAGCTGCATTAGGAGATTGTTCTGAATAACAGACAGTAGCTTTTATCCAGTATGGTCTCTGCCACATAGCAGGGCTTTGTGGGAGGGGGTTGGAAACCCAGCAGAAGCCTGATATTTCTCATGGCTGTATCTTTGAGCTTTTTCCCCCAGAACTGTAAGTTAGTAAGATCTGAAAGGATCTTACTCTAGATAGGCACTGCCTGGCATGAAAAATCCATAGTCTGAAGGAAAAGAGCAGGTAAGATGGAAGTCAGAGATACCACCAGAGGAGATGCTGGAGGCAACACAGGCCTCCAGAACTGAAGTAAGCTTCCTGCCGTGTGTTACATGAGTTTCTTTTGGAAGAGCTCTTCTTAAGCTGGGGCTTGACTAATTGTGTATTTTTGCTTTTGCAGAAGGTTGTAAGAGCTTTCTTAGTTTTGACTTTGCTGTAGATCTTGGGCTGTGTTGTGTATGGTGATCTTGGCGTGTTTTGCATAGATGTTTTGATACTGTTTTGTATAGGGAATGGCCAGTTTGTTCTTCCATGTTTCACATACCTGACCAACAAGTGAGGAAGTGGTGGACAGGGTTGGCAAGCAAAGGGTACACAACAATATGAACAGAGGAGACAACATATTCAATAAAACAGGGCTGAAGAAGGTGATGGGATAGGTCCCATGACTGGAGTGCTGTCATGAATGGGTACAGGCGTTTTTGAAAGGACAGACAAGGATGGCAAGGAGGGGGAGTCACCTTTTATCTAAGTGAGTAGTGGTCACACATGAAACTCTGCCTAAAGAAGGGTGATGAGTCAGTTGAGAGCTTGTGGATCAGGGTTGGTGGGGCACACCAGGATGGGTGTCATTGTGGTGGTTTTCTGCTAGGCCTTATTCCAAAAAACAGAAGGAACCTGTGTTTGCAGGCCTTATGGGGAGCTTCATCCACCCCTGTATCTGCTGGAGAGACAACACAGCAGGGCGCAATAGGTCCAAGACATTTCTGACATACATTTACAACAACTTCCTAACACAGTTGACCAAGAAATAGACAAGGAGAGGCACTTTGCTGGACCACTCTCTTATAAACTAGGAAGAACTGGCTGGGGATATGAAGGTTGGGGCAAACATGGCACCAGTGACCATGAGATATTGGACTTTGTGATCCTGAAAGGAGGGGTCAAAATAAAAAGTAGGATCACAACCCTGGACTTCAGGAGAGCTGACTTCAGTCTGTTCAGGGAGTGACTTGGAAGAATCCCATTAGATATGGCCTTGGGGGAAGAGGGCTTTGGAAGAACTGATGACTTTCGAAGGATCACCTCCTTTAAGCTCAGGAGTGGTTCAACCCTGACAAGCAAGAAACCAAGCAAAGATATCTGAAGGCCTTCATGGATGAACCAGTAGCCTTTGTCAAAACTCTACCATAAAAAGGAAGTGTGCAGGACATGGAAGCAGTGGCAGGTGACACAGGAGGAACAGAGATACTGTCCAGACCTGTAGGGGTTGCATTTAGGAAAGCCAAAGCCCATGTTAAGTTGCATATGGCAAAAGATGTGGTGCACAAGAAGAAAGGTTTCTACAGCTATGTTAGCAGCAGGAGACCTAGGGAAAAACATGGGCCCTAGCTGGGGTCCTAAATGGGACAGGGGACCTGCAGGGAAAGGCCAGGGTACTCAATGTCTTCTGTGCCTCGATCTCTACTGGTAACACCAGCCTTCAGCAGTCACAAATACATGACCCCAGTGGGAAAACCTGGAGCAAAGAAGACTTAACCCTTGGTAAAGGATGATAAAATCAGGGAACATTTAAAGTGGACATATTCAAGTTCATGGGATCTGATGGGATACACCCGTGAGTGCTGAGGGAGCTGGTTGATGTCCTTGAACACTCTTGGATTACCTTTGAAATGTCATGGTGATTAGGGGAAGTCCATGAGGACTGGAGGAAAGCAAATGTCATTCCTGTTTTCAAGAAAGGCAAGGAGGAAGGTCCAGAACACTACAGACTGGTCCACTGCTTCTCACCCATAGGAATGGCATGAAGCAAATTCTCCTGGAAATCATTTCCAAACGTGGAAAAGAAAGAATATAATTGTGAGTAATCGGCATGGCTTTATGAAGGGGAAATCGTGCCTGACCAGTGTGATAGCATTTTACAGTGAGGTGTCTGGTGTGGTGGAGGAGGGGAGAGCAGTGGGTGTTGGTTTTGACTTCAACAAGGAATTTTACGTTGTCTCCTTTAACATCATCATAGACAAGCTGACAAGGAGTGAACTAGGAAGTAAGGTGATTTGGAAACTGGCTGCACAATTGAGATTAAAGGGTCATGATCAATGGCACAGTATCCATTTTGAATTCAGCACTTGAGTGTACAAAGCATGCCAAAGGCTTTCACTTTGCAGCTTTTGCATCTTGGAAGAGCAGAGTTTCTTGTCTTTGTGTCCTTGACACAAGTTTATTTTCTATCAGCTCTAGAAGCATGATGAGTTAGTATGAAATGTAGGCTGGAGCATTAGATAATTTTAGAAAGATTGATGGAGGAGAAGATTGTTGTGTTTTTTTTTCTATTTTCTGTCAATTTTATCATGATGATCTTTAGAGTAATCTTTAGAGAAGTACTTCTCAGGTACCTCAGCACAAAGCAGAACCGGTACAGCCCAGGAAACAGAAGACATCTTCTTCCCTAGTGAGAGCCTTGAGCAGCAATTTAGCTGTGCAGTTCAGAAATGTGATCAGCACTGCAGGAATGTCTGTCTAGCCAGGCAAGTGATGGCACCAGCTTCAGCTGTGTACAAGAGATATAAGGTGCTGCTGTGCAATTCGGTGTTACCTTCACACTTGGCAGGAGATTTTGTGCAGGAGATGTTGAACTAGGAACAGCCAGTTTGAAAAAAAAAAAAAAAAAAAAGGAAAAAGTGAGCTATATGAAACTCCTGAGTGGAAAATTCCCCTGGTTTTGGGGCTTCTTCACCTTCCCTTCAGAACCAAATCCTGTCAAAGTCAGGCAGGAGCTGGTGACAAACCTTGCTGCATGGAGCCAAAGCAAAAGGGGAAGTGGGAGATGAGGCAGTATTTTGTAAATAGCTCTTTCAGGTTGAGACTGCAGACCAGACCTTGCGTCCTTGTACAAAGGGCCATGAAAATACATCTCCAGAAGTACACCAAAAGGCTCTGCAAGTCCCAAGGAAGCAGAGTAGTCCCATTAGGAAGGAAGAAGCCAGATTCCATTTTTATAGGCCCTTGTAATTTCTTCTTGTTAATCCACCAACATTATCTTCATTCTTGTTCCTGACAAAAGGCAAGTGAGGTGGTGTTCCCTTCTGAAGGGAGGTGAATCAGGAGACGCCTGGTCCTTCTTCAGGGATGCAGCTGGGAGTGTTTCTTCTTCCTGCTGTCTTTGCTTGTAGACACCAAGAAAGGAACATTACTTGCTGTCTAAGGAAGTACTGCTCCCACTGATGGTTGGTTGCTCATTGCAGCAAATTTATGGTTTGCGAGATCTTTTGAGTGCTGTCAGGTGAGAGGTAAAGACAGACATTTGATTGGTGGTTACCTCATCTCCTCTTTATTCTGTGCGTTCAGTTGTCAGATACTAAGTTGCAGAAGCTTTTGAATGGTTTTAATTTCTCTGGGTTTTTTTTACTTTCTTGACAATGTTTTCTGGATTAATTTCTTTAAAGGAAAAATTTCCACCAGCTTTAATACATAGTTTCAAACATCAGAGCTCTGCAACACCATGTGTGCTGCAGTTAAAATCAAAACGGAAACTTCCAACTGCATTGCTTAATTGTGATAGAAGTCATGGGCCCACAAAGTCTGGGGCAAAATGGCCATTGGCAGACATGCAGGGAAGAAACTGGCCCTGGATTTCCGTGCCACATTTCAAAGCAGTTACCAAGCTTTTTGACTTCCTGCCCTCAAATAAGTGTTATTACCAGAACTTTGTTATTCTCTTATAACTAGGAAGATTTTTTCTTAAACACTTTTTCCTCTGTCAGGAACATAATACTTTGGCAGCTGTTTTGCCACTTTGAAATATAGATTAGCAATCACTACAGATGTTTACATCCTCCTTCCCTGGCCCCCAGCCAGCTCAGGTCAGATTAATTACAATGCCTGCACCACCTCTTTAGTGGGTATGTCAGGGGCAAGTTATTAAACAGATCCTGGGAGATGAGTTGCTCTGTTTTTGAGACTCTGCAGGGATCTTCTGTTAATGTACCCTCATTTGGTTGAGGGTACTGAGATGTTGTGTGCAGAGAGATGCTATTGTGGCACACAGAGAGAAATATTCCCATTGGAGAGGGAAAGCTCTGCTCCAGCCAGGGAACAGGGCAAATGAGCATGGGCCCCAGTGGTATTTTTCACTTTGAAAAATACAAGTGTCTGAACAGCAAGCAGTCATCATCATTCACCACTGAGTGGCCCTTTCTGTGGGAACATGCCATGCTGCTGTTACAGCTCTCCTCTGCTCCTTTTTGTAAGGTCTGGCCTTGCAGAGCATCCTCTTCCAGGCTTGGTGGTAGCCAAGCTGGTACAGTCTGCGCTTAGCAGGACCCTGCTTCACTTTTTACCCCTGTGCTGAAGCAAGGAAAGTGGGCAGGACCTGCTGATGGGACTGGAGGGTTGCAGGGGAGAGCTGTAACCAACCAGAGCAGGATTTTTGTTATCCCTTAGTTCACTGCACCTTATCTCCGTGCCTGCCTGGGGCACACAACATCTCAGTATGGGCGAGCAGAGAATATAACTCATCGTGACTAAGATCAGCAAGCTCTCACTTGGTGTTGTTACTCAGAAACCACCATGTGCTCCAGCTATCTGGGAGCCACCATTCAGCAGACCACTGAGATTTGTGTGCTGTAGAAACGAGTGCCTCTAATTGCACAGCACCTCGGGCTCAGCCTGCCTGAAATCCTATTTGTACAGTGTAGTTCACATTAGCCACCATTGTTCATGGCCATATCAGGCACCACTGTTTGCATCCATATTAGGCTTCTGGCTTTCAAGGCCAGCAGAAACCCGTAAGTAACCTAGAGGGTCTCTCGAGTGCTTCTGCAGAATTTCTTCCAAACTCATTTGGGCCTTTCTTTTCATTTCCCAGAAAAATCGCTATGAGATTTACATTGGCCTCCTGAAAGAAGGGGTGAAGGATCTGCTGAGCGGAGGAGAGAACGATGCACCAGGACTGAAGAAATCCCATTCAAGTCCCTCATTGAATCAGGAGTCTCCAGTTAGTGCCAAGGTGAAGCGCAATGTCTCTGAGAGGAAGGACTACAGGCCGGAAACACCCAGCATTAAGCAGAAGGTCACTTAGGGTGGAGATGACAACTAGGGGAACAGCCATGCAGTGAAGTACCGGTGGTCAAAATTTTTTCATTTAATAACCTGTCATTCACAAAAAAATAAGTGCATCTGCCTGAATGGGGTGTTAGTGACATTTTCTATTGTATATTTTGCTGTTCCTGTGCAGATTGTGGGAGATGTCTTTGCTCCTGCTTTGCTTTGCTTTGTTAATTTATCATTTAGCAATTGAAGCATCGGGACTTCTTTTGTATTGTTCTGTTTCTAAAGGAGCTGGGGGAGGGGTGGAGCGCTGTGACGTGTATTCTGTCTCTTCCCCATTTATCTCCTCCCATCGGCACGTGGCTTTCACCTCTCGAGTCACTTGTCACTTTATTTACGTGGTGGGTGGGAAAAATAACTGGACAAAGGCTGCAGTGCTGTGAACGCAAACTGTAGCTGTGAGAAGAGCTGTGTGAACGGGCAGCTCCAGAAGGTTGGCTGGAGCCTTGGGTGCTGGAACACTCGTTTCCCGACATTGCAGAGCATGTTGGTACTGGTACTTGGGAGTGGGTGCTACAGCAAATAGTCGGTGTTGCTTACGTTATTGCATTGATCCTGGACCCACGAACGTGAAGGAATGAAACCTGGAAACCTCTGGCAATGATGGGATCACAGCACTGGAATAATCTGTTTGCTTCCTTCCAAGCAAAGAGTCCTCCCGAGTTAGCAGGCTGGGGGATATCCAAACCCATGCGGTCTCTGCGGTCAAGGACCTTAGAGAATACCCAGCCAGAAGTACTCCCCGGGCTTTGTGTTTATTTGCAGAGGAGGTTGCTGTAGATGTCAGCTATTAGCATTGTATCTTAAAGACAAAGGGCCGCCGTGTAGTTTTTGACTATATGCTCTCACTTAGCTGCTGTATAGAGCCTTATGATATATTGTGCCCTGATGCTCCCCTTTCCAGGAATTTCTTTGTTGGTATGCACAGATAGGTGTTTGCAATTTCTCTGCTAGTGACAAAGCACTTTGCCTTTTCCCTTCAGGAAAGGATTCTCCATTTTCCTGCTTGAGCTCACGCATGAATGGAAGGGGCTGGTGCAGACCAGAGAAGGGGACAGATAAGTCCTTGCTGCAGGCCAGGTTTTATGCCATCCTGGCTACTCCACACCTGGAGGCCAGCATAAGGCAGCCTCAGCTTTGGCGGGTCCTACCCTCTACCTGCAGGGAGCTGGCCTGCCTTGCAGCTCCTGCATACCCTGCACCAGGCTTTCAGAGGGGAGCACAGGACAGGGAGAGACCACCATGGGTAGAGCTTTCCATACCTGAAAGCCCACTGTTTGTGCCACAGACCCTTGGTAGTGTCTAACAGTCTTCAGGCACATAGAGTAGAAAGGTGATGTAGAAATCCTTTTCCTGCTTCCCAGCCTTTCTCATCTGGGTGGCATCATGGCTTTGCAGAGAGCACTGGCTAATCCATTATTTAACACCCTGAGTTTTAATCTCAGGTGTGATACTAGCCTACTGGGCGAGCTTGGACAGGTCTCTCCTATTTTGCCTCACCCTTCCTCTATGGGGAGTTCTACAGCTAAACTGGCCTTTCCCACAGAGCACCTTGGGAGGTAATGTTGAGGGCCAGCTGAAAGTCATTTGTTGCTGTTGTTTTTTGTTGTCCCTGGCACAGGAAAGCCTTCCTGATGGATGTAATTCTTAATGCATGAAGAAACAGCAAGGTGAATGCAAGGACTGTTTAGAAATGCACTGGTGTTTCCAGCCTAAGTAGTCAAAGGGCCACGCATCAAAAAAATGACCACCTGAGTGGATTTGTGCTCTGACAGATTTCCTGAAGGGCCCAAGTCAGTTAATCTGGATTAATGAACTGTTAGTTCAGTGGGTAGGACAGGGAGTGATCAAAGAGAGAAGGACCTTAACAGGCAACGCGTGACCTGCCTCCCCCCTCCGAGGACCACTGTACAACAGCTTTCCCTGTGTTGTGCTCAACTGTTGGCTGTAGTGAAGACGTTGTGTTCTCAGATGCCATGGGGTGTTGGAGAAAATCAATCCCTTCAGTCGCAGCCCAACAGCAAAACCAGGTGGAACTGTTTCCACACGTGATGTGGGGACACATGGATCTGGCATCTGCCACTGAGAGTGGCTGCTCTGCGCTAGAAGTCAGGAGGTTGGCCCCTGACCCTGGCAACATGGCTAAAACCTGCACAGTCCTGAATAGAAGTGGTCAGCACTTCCTAAGCTCTAGGGCTTTAGAACTTGTCTATACTTACCACAGTGGGGTAGATGTGGGGCAAGTGTTCAGTCCTCTTCCTGAAGAAGAGATCTGCCTTCTGCTGCTGGAGCCAAAGTGATGTGGGGCAGCCTGCTGTGTTAGGAGACTCAGTGTAGACAGGTGCACGACAGTGCTCATGGGCAGGGATTGTTTGAGTTAATCGAGTGTGGCAGACAATAGTTCATGGAGGGAAACAAAGCCAGGAGATTCCTGCAGCTGTTCATCATGCTTGGGTGGTTTAAAACCAACACACAGAAGAAGAAGAAATTCATTCGGGGGATGCAGACTGCACGTTTGAGAAGAAACCTTGTCGTGTCTTAGATAACAGAGTTAGGGAGTGTACAGCAGAAACAAAAAAAAATGTGCAGATTTATAGATGGGCCCTGCTTGGCTGTTGGGGTTACGTTGTCTAGATGAGCTTTTTGAAGATGGGCTGGAACATGCCCAGCAAACCGCTTGTGATTATGGAGTGCAGAGCTCTCTCTAAAAGGCAAAGAGGTGACATTTAACTTTTTTTTCCCGGGCTTTTAAAATATTCTGGTTGCTGTATACTGCGGCTAAATTGCAGAGCTCAAAAAGAAATTATTCCTGTAAAATGCGTTTCCCAACTTCGATACAGAAACTGGATAATTCCTCTTCAAAATCATTGCAGAGGAGATGATTTGAAGAAATAGGAAAAGTCAAAAAGTGAACTGTAAAAAAGTGATTTTTTTTTTTTTCGTTATTTATTCCCTATTTCTGCATATACTTGTAAACAGATTAGGGTATATTTTTTATGTCTCTTCTGGGCTTAGCAAATGCAGTTTTTCACTGTGCTTTTAGTCATTAAACATTGGAGCCTGAAGCACTCTTGGTGAGACTGCTGAGGCATGGAGATTAGTTTACTGAGAATTTGTCAGGTTCTGCTTAAGTTTTAATTAATGCCACTTCGCTCTGCTGCTTTGCAAATTCTAGGTATCCAAGGCACCCGTATGAAAATGTGTATTTTGGAGGCTGAGAGAAAAAGATGATCCTGTTGTGATTGCCTAAGGCTCCTGGATTGCTTGGGAATAGGATAATCTACTAAGGAGAACTGTAATTTGCTTTCCCCCCACAGTGCTGTTGTAAAGGGCAGGTTCTCAGGAGGTCTCAGTGGTGCATATTCCTGAGTGGCACCACTGAGAATCTGACCAAATAGCTTTGCAAGGTACTCGGTACTGCCTTTCTTTGCTGAAATGTTTCCCTTTAGCAGAGACCAGTGCTTGACCTCAGTGACTCCGAAGCTCCTGTTGTGATATGTAAGGGTACTCTGCTGGTTTTCAGCCCTCCTCTGGGACCGCCGTGTGCCTGAACTCGGTATCAGCAGAAGAGCCTGCAGCTTTCCAGGGGTGCTCAGCATGAGCAGGGGTTACTGGCAGACCCCCACGGGCGGGCGTGCGAGCCAGCCTCTGCGTCAGTGGTGCAGGGGGGGCCATCCTTCCCAGTCCTTCCCGCTGCAGCTTGCAGCCGTCATGCAGGCAAAGCCTCTGCCTGCATGCTGAGAGGAGGGGAGCGGGATGGGGCCAGTGGCGCCTGTCATACCGCCTCTCAAGATGCAGGCAGAGGTCCTGGAGGAGCTTATTCTGCTCTGAAGCATTGCTGGTTTTCTCACCCTCCAGGGGTTGGACCATCTCCTATCCCCGTCTGAGGGAGGAAGGGCAGGAGAAGACCTCACTGGGTCCGCATCTGAGAGCAGAGGGGTGAGGCAGAAGGATAAAATCGCCTTTCCCTCTCCCCAGTGAACAAGCAAAGCAGGTGAGATACTCTCTGAAAGCCAAAACCGTGGTCTGCTCTCCGAGTCAGCAGGATGCAGGGGCCTGGCTGAGATGGTTTGCATTCAGCAGTGGCTGCAAAAGAGACTGTCTGGGCTGGCTGTGTGTTTGTGTACATCTTGCAGATAAATCACGCATGGACCAGTGAACATGACTACAGCTTTTAAATCCAGTATTTATGTTGTGTCTTTAATTGATGTTGAGATAAGTCAGCCAGCAGAGTGATTAATGCAGCAGAGCTGTGGGGGAATGCTGTTCAGCTGTGACACCGACTCAGTTTTTCATCTGTAGCTAGCCACTTGTGAATGGTTACCAGAAGCTTTCCTAAGGGCTTGTAACAGCTCATCCCTTAAGTGCTTTCCCTCTGATCCTGCCTGCTCCCAGGATGTGGTCTGTCCATGTCTGGGGGCTCTCCTGGAGAGCGGTGCTCAGCACACACCTGCTTTGAGCAGGAGTGTGGACTAACAGACCTCCAGAGACTGGAGTTGTTTGGTGACTTTTCACAGCTCTAGTGCCTTTGGGTAACAAGGCTGGTTGTTCTTCTGGTTTGAAACAGCCAGTGTTTTTGCCTTCTTCCAGCGAGGGTGTGAGGTTCTTGACTGATTAGAGTAGCCCCTTCAGTGAGGAGGTGATTGTAACAATGGAGAAAGTCAAAGGTTGCAGGGTTATCGCTGGCTTTTGGAGGCACTGCATGGCAGTGTTCTTCTTGAAAGTGAGGAAGGCTTTTCTCTGCAGACAGCACACCGCTTACTGTCTCTGCGCTCTCCATCCCTACATCAGGTTTGGCCTTATCACAGTTAGTCTGACAGTTTCTCCTCCTTTTCTGTCAAGCTGCTTCTGTCTGTCATCTTAGCACCTCAGCTGCTTCTGTATAACAGGTCTCTTTCCTTACGTACTTGCAGAAATCCAGAAAATTTGACTGTCCTGTCTTGCCTTGAGAAAACCTGCTCTGAAGCAGTG